ACCTGTAGCTGGGCTTCGGCTCTTCTGGGGGATTTTTGTAGTTTATATTTAGCTATAGGTACACTAGCAGTTTTTTTTTCAGAATTAATAAAATATATGTGCATAGCACAACTAGTAATGTGAAATGTTTAACAAAAAGGCTGCAGATTGTTTGAATGAAGATATGAAGAAGCTTTTTAAAAAAGTGATTAAAAACAGAATGTGATCAATTGTGAACGCGTCCAACACAAATCCATCTGTTGCAACGAGGAAGTGGTCAACACCTACACAACATGATCAAAATCCCACAAACATTTTTGAAACTCCAGTTTTGATCTGTTCTCTTAATTACTGCGTGATCTTCCAAAAATTAATATCTCATTTCTCAGCCCAATGGCAGACTCGGAGGAGGCGTAAGTCAAACAGCTAATACTCTCTGGCGATGAGATTTATTTTCCCAGACAAACATCAAGCCGCAGGTATTTGTCCAACTGCTTGGTTTACACACAGTAGGTGTTTTTTCCTCCATACAGTATTTACCATAAAAAGTACCAAGCTGATGCTGTTATTTGGGATCATTTACAGTGAGTGGAGGGTATTAACTTAGACCACTGGCTCAGCATTTTTGACCTACACAGATCAGCCACAACATTAGGACCACCTGTTTAATACACAGGAGTCAGTGCAGCATTTGGTTGGCACTCGTGTCACTCTGAGGCTCACAACGCATCTTTTGTGAGCCTCAGAAAGAGAATGAAATTGTCTACCATTTAGTGATAAAAATATGTAAAATGACTGAAAACTGTGGTTGTGAGGACAAGTTAGAGATCATTTTTTTAGGCACATTCAACAGCCTCCCCACTCTAGGTGTGATATCATCACCACAGCTGCCGAATGTTTCCCTTCATAGAGACCAATGTACAGTGTTTCTCATTTTCAACCATATTAACTAAGATTCAAACTGGAATCTTTGAAAAGGCTGAGTGAAATTTAAAAGCTTAGTCTACTTACTGTCCATGTACTTGGCTGTGCATGACCCTGTCGCCTGTTCACTGTTTGTCCTTCTTTAGACACCGTTGGTGGGCACTAACCACTGCAGACTGGGAAAACCCAACAAGACCTGCAGTGCGCAGGAAGCTCTGAGTTGTCCACCATTACAATTTGGCCCTTGTCAGGGTCACTCAGATCTGACAATCTTACCCTTTTTTTCCTGCTTCCAACACTTCAACTTCGAAAAATGAATGTTCACTTGCTGCCTAATATACCCCACATGCTGACAGGTGCCACTGTAACAAGATAATCTATGTTATTCGTGCCACCTAGCAGTGGTCATAATGATATGGCTGATTGGTGTAAATGCTAACATCAGCATGCTAACACGCGCACTGGTATTTACCATTTTTTCTTCTTTACTATCCTGTTACTAATCTCTCAACTTCTCACATCTATCTTGTGACATCTCAGAGGTCTCCCAACCCCAGATTGGGAACTACTTCTACCCATGATCGCTCCGGTTTTTTCTTCCACAGATCTTTTTAGCCTGATCTATAACTCATTTAGATGCATACAAGTTATGTAAACAAATCCCGCTGGGGAACAAAACCCATAACAAATTCAAACTGTTTTCCCACTGGCATAAATCACACAGTGAACAGGCCCCCGAGCACTACTCATACTGATCTGAGACGGGTGTCGTGTGTGTGCAGGCTACATTTTCAAGCGCCCTTGAGAAGATAGTATCATTATTTCTCATATTGCCCATATTAATTGGGTCAGCAGCTGCAAGAAGCTTGACCTGCGCTGTTGCTTGGCAACTATTTCCCAAGTATATACAGTAGAAAAACAAACTAGAACTTTTCTTGCTGGGAATTACATAACATTAGTGACCTTGTTCAAATATATTCTGATAAAATCAAATGTCACAAAAAGGTCAGAACAAAATAGAGTATATAACAAATGTATTAATTTATTGGTAACACAAGGTTCAATTGAAGCACTGTACACTGAGCAAACGCTGAAATAACATCTTCTCTTCCTTGAAAGAAAGCACAAGCACAAACAGAAAGAAGTGTCACTTTTGCACACAACACAATCAAAATAGCCTAACTTTTAACCTAAACACATTACATTACAAATAAATTAGACCCCTTTCAAGTCCAGAGAGGTTCTGCTCTTTGGTGAAACACTAATATCTAGAGATGTAAAGTAAAAGGATAATTACAGAATGGAGGGATGCAAACCAGACTTCTTCAGAGAAAGGCCTTTGTCTACAACATATAGTAACGAAAACTCTACATTTCACAAGCCTCCAGTGCACACAGACATACAAACACACACACACACAGACAACATGCTCTGAAAAGTATAAAACATTGTTTACAGTCACAAATTGATGCCACTGCCACCAGGGTGTACATACACACACACACACACACACGGAGAGAGAATACCTGTATGGAGTCTGGAGTGTGCAACCACAATCATTAATTAGAGGTTTACAGTGTTTAACCATAATAAATTAATATTTCATTTAAAAAAAACTTTTAGAAACTGCTTTATTAAAGGTTTATTTAAATGTAGTCAGTAAACAAATTAATGTTAATTCTATTTCCTTAATCAAACAAATTCTATCAAACATTTACAGTTTCTAGTTTATTTGCTTGAAGCGTGTGCCACCTTAGAACTTAAAAGAAAAGAAAACAGCCCATAGCGCAGCAGCAGAAGCTCTGATTGGCTCCACTCCCACCGGTAAATAGCAGCCAAGCGTTAACTGAGAGATGAAGCCGATGCAGGAGTGTCAAACCCTGCGGTTCCTCGACCAGCCACTGGAGTCAATCCCATTAGACTCCCATGTTAAATTGGATTAGATTTAGTGAAGAGGTACCAATATGGCAGCAGCCAGACTTGAGCTTCAAAACCACTCTTCAGAAAACCAACGGGTTTGTCCAGATTTTATATATAGTCAGTGATGGCAGCAGGATAATCAGACATCTGTCTGCTGCTACTTTGGATCAGGTGGTGTACTCTTAACACATTATGCCTTCAAATTAAAACAACCATTAAATGAAGACAATATTATATAATAAATATTACGCCTTGTTTGAATTAATTTTGTTTTAAAATTCCACCGTTAATCAATCTCATAAACATGCAATAAGAATACTTAGACACTGATACATTTAATAATTATTATTTTTACTTTGAGCATATAAGTGCCTGAAAGCAATGAAATGATTTAAAATAGCTTTTAAAAATCCATCAAGTTATTCAGTGATTATAATTAAGCACTGCAGAAGTGTGGAGTAATATTCTAGTGGCACACTTCAGGATCTATACTCCTGTCCTGTTGCAGACCACTGCTGTATCTTTGTTGGAAGACTTAAACAACAAAGCAGGTTACTAGTTGAACCAGATTTCAACAAGGATTGGGGCGTTAGAGATTTCAACAAGGATTGGGGCGTTAGAGTGCTAAGAATATATGTAGGGTTTTGTGTTTTCCTTCTATCCAAGTAAATAATTATATTCTACTGTAGTACAAAATAACTCAGACTGACCTCAGGGAACATATTCTACTCTGGCTAGGATGAATATATCTGCTTTAAATTAGCATATTATATTATGCAGCAACATTTACTGTGCATGGAATTACTGAAATACTGTAATATTGGGAATCTTTGGTCACAAGTACAGTATATGCAGAGTACTCCTTTATATTTTAGTTGAAATGTTGACACAGACTTTCATAGAAAAAATAGAGCTGGAGTAATAATTTAGTTAATACTTTCAAAAATCACTTTTTGAACCAAAATTCCCAAATATATTGCTCGGTAAATAAAATATGTAAAGAGGCAGTGAGCACGTTCAAAGCCAGTGTATATAAATGTTTGTTTGAAATCGAGGAATTTTTTTTTTCTTTAAAAAGAGCAGGATAATGTTTCAAATAGATATTTTTCATGCACTTACCGTGAAAACTGTTTCTAAAACTTCTGCGATTTATCCACACATAAGGAAGCCCTGAGCTTTGGAGCTGAAGTCTTTCCTCCACTTCAATAGCAGGCTTACGCCAAGGGCAAAACCACCTTTCTCTGTTGCTATTCAGTCCAGGTGCAGCAGCCACATAAACAATCATGATGTGGCTTGCTGGTTTGCCATTTGATCTCTGCTGATTGCATTCATTATCTTGGCAACTAATATCAAGTGGAGGGATATGAATAGGTCATCAGTGTACACTGATGTTCATAATTATATTATTTTAACACAAATTATACATTTAGAGATGTCACATGAGGATAAATTAAAGTGATAAGGTCTGCTGAAATAATACAGTATATCAAGGCACTACTGTAGCTTTGACTCTAGTGTGATACAATAAAATTTACTTGACTACAGTATCACGATGTAGAAATACACCTATGATACAGGTACTAAAATAGTGTAGCATGATGAAACTGAGGTATGAAAATGCAATATCTGAGGCAGCACCACATCAAAAAAAAAGTTTGCATGCTTTTTAAAAAAAGATGTGTTTTTATCAGAATCTGTGCCATGTCAGAGGCTTTTTAAATGGTCAGTTTACAAAAATATATTCAAACCAATACAAGTACAACAGCCATTGTGCTGATGAGTATCACTTTGTCCTTCTCTTAAATCCCAAGAACAGTTGTGTTGAACGTGTTTCTACTGCAGCACGGTCTTATCCAAAGAAATGCAAAAATTCCAACTTCTTGATGACATACATTATGAGCTCTATTTCCAACTTATGCTTCTCCTGTATCACCCTTAGATGTATTATGAGAGCTAGATACTGGATTAAGGTGGCACAGCGGCGCTGTGGTTAGCAAAAAGGTTCCAGGTTCACGCCCAGGTCAACCCGAGGCCTATCTGTGTGGATTTTGCATATTCTCCGAGTACTCCAGCTTCCTCCCACAGTCCAAAAACATGCAGCTTAGATTGATTGACGACTCTAAATTGCCCGTAGAAGTGAGTGTGAGTGTGGTTGTTTGTCTACAGGTCAGCCCTGTGATAGACTGGTGACCTGTCTAGGGTGGACCTCGCCTCTCACCCAGTGTCAGCTGGGATTGGCTCCAACCCCCTGTGGCCCTATTTAGGAACAAGTGTTATAGATAATGGATGGATGGATACCAGATGCCCATTCCTCACACTCAAAAATGCTCATCTGGTGCATATGCAAAAACATGTTTGCTTTTGTGTCATGTGTTCAATTGCATATACGCATTAGCATTTTCCCAGTTGGGCACATCACAAAAATACAACTCCATTTTCTAGGCTATGGAGAACTTTAAAAAATATAAAGGCTCCATGGATTAAAAATTCATAATACAAAGAGTGATAACTGGCCTGCATTGCAGTTTGAGGTGTCCTGTCAACAGTTTTACAAATGCTTTATCATTGTGGTTTATGGACAAAATGCTTTTTGGACCTAGGGGAATTTTTCACTGCAGTTCCACGAGTGGCTACTGGGCTGAGTGGTTCTGCTGTATCCAGCTCTCATAACCCATCAAGTCACAGAGATAAGCATCCCCAAATCAGGAAAAGAAATACTACAAACTTTCAAAAATCCAGGCTGTTTGACAATATGCACCTTAATTTTAAAGGTGTTTCCAAAATCCTCAAAGACTCTTCTAACCAGCTGGATTAAAAAAAATAATCCTTTCTGGTGCAAGGAAAACAAAACAAAACAAAGAAAGATTTCTCATTATTACAACCTTTTGTCCAGATCAATAAAGATGACCACACGAAATGTCATCTCATTCATTTTGGCCTAAAACTGATAAGGTACACTATTATGGAGTGGGATGCACTTCAAAAGTGATCCTTTGAGTGTTTTAGCATCTTTTTGTCAGAAACAATTTAATGTGATGATGATGCTGACTGAATCACATTGTAGATAATAACAATAACGACAACTTTAACTGCTGCCAAAAGAGTTCTTGTGGTGGTGTTCTTTAGTAAAAATATAATAAAAGAGTCTTTGAGGATTCTGGAAATACCTTCATAACTGGGCTGAGCACGGTCAAACGACCTTCTGGATTTTTGAAAAGTTGCCAGGTATTTTTTTCCCCTGATAATCAGACACTCATCTCTATGTCTCAAATGTAAGGTAATACATGAGAGGCACAAGTTAGGGATAGCTTTCCTTTTCAACTTGTCTGCATTTATACAAAATTTATAATTAGTTCATAAGGTCATGGAGAGAGTTTGTGGGCATCAAAACACACTGGATCCTCCTGCACTCTACTGCCAATCACAATGCTCGGATGTGTCTGTTGGGTTTCTTCTGAATTAGTTGAGTTTGTGGAAAGCGTTGCTCCAAAGTGTGCCCCATCTACTGAGAGAAGCATGGGTGTTCCTGATTGTGTCAGACTATCACTCATAGTCACATGCATCTCCTCCGGCGTCACACCCATCTCCTTGCTGTACTCTGATGGTGACTTCTTCTTTATCCTCTCATATGTCTTGACTTGATTTTCTGCAAATGTCTCACTGTCCTGAAATCGCCCAAACAACCAGATGAAGAACCCAAAGAGGACGAATGCTGCCAGGCTTGGAATGAAGGCCAGGCACGTGACATCCAGGCTGGCTCCGATGTAGCGGCTGTGGAGGAACATGTCCCGCTCCACGTAGCTTAGATTGGTGCCAGGATTGATGTTGGTGGAGCGCCACTCATAGGTGAGCGTGCTAGAGTTGAAGTCCCTGAGTGTTTCTGGCTCCTCCACTGTGTAGATCTTCTCACCAGGCCCAACATACTGACCATATTCATAGGGCTTGTAGAAGATCTGGTTCTTCCACATGTTAAGGTCCAAAATCAGTACGAGGAAGATGATACCATAGTTGAACCACTTACCTGTAACGAGATACGTGACTCCTATTAGATCACAACCAGGCAATCTTTTACAGATAAGCAAGGACACACACATGTAAAGATAACTTAACAGGCAGGTTGATGCACAGTGCAAACCTACTCCAAATAAGGTTTAGAGGGCTGAGTCAGACAGACAGATATACAGTCACATTTATTTATCAGGAACCCCTTTCTCTTTGCATACAGCTTATGCATTGAGACAAATAGATCCATTTGCAGGTGTTACTTCCTCTACAGTATCTTCTAACAAGATGACTACATTACCATAAGACAGCCAACTCCCCAGGATGACTGATAGCAGGCAGATGTCTCTCCGAGTATACGTGACACCGCTCCCTTCCTTCCCCCAAGATATGCTGTTAATAAGCTTTTAGTTAAACCAATCACGTTGCACCAGTTCCATTTCCATAATACTTAATGGATATGCAAAGCATTAGAGTTAACAACCTTTGGCGAAACACTGAGCGCATGAACAGCTTAACATTTAGCACAGGAACATTGGTTTGCGTTCTTTTGATGGTTGTGAGTCACCATGTGAATGTGGTGAAGCAAAATGGAGAGACTGGGAGGACCGTTTTAAATGGGAAATATACTTGCTCATGGAGAACATTAAGACAGAGATGTGAAAGATGATGAGAGATGTGTCTCGCATGGCAGGGAGGAACCCAGGCAGCAGGAAAAAAGTTGCAGTGGTAGAGCCACCTGTGTGCCACGTCAGCTATACATGTATTATAAATGGTCATTGTGGTTTCACCATCAAACCATTTCCCCATGGAGGAAACTGGAAAAGCAGAGCAGCCGCAATAGACTTCATATTCACAAAGTTAAATCTCCCTCATGAACATTTAGATTTCCTTTTGCTGCTTAAACAGGGTATGATTATGTGGATTTAGAACGGTTTAGGAAAAACAGAAGTACCCTTCTTGAAACAATGGCCATGTCTGCCTCTACCTGTGATATGAATGTGGTACTCCTCTTTAAAGATACGCTTGCAGACAGGAAGCTTGACCTTCACATGCGTTGTTGACATTCCTGGTAGATTCATATCCAGGTCACCCATAAATTGAGGGAACTCCCAGTCCTGAAAAACACACACATGGTCATATAAATCTAATGTACCATTTTTTGAGCAACAACATTATTGTAGCCTCAGATGAAGAAAACGGAAAACATGCAAATAAATACACTATCATGACAAAAGTCAGCGATGTGTTGTGCTTTGCTAGATGTTGAACAGTTCACTGAGTTTTCTCATATTAGCTGATATTAGGCCTCAGTAGAGTCTCTTCATATACTGCCTGGAGGTCAAACATGGTACCAGTCACTGTAGACTACAATGTGTTTACAGACCTGTAGAATATAATAACATGCACTATGTTTTCACCACATCAAAAGGCATCCCACTCAGACATTTAGAAGCTGTCTGTGCCATGTACTCTTTGTGCTAGTATATTTTGTGGCTAGTGGCTTTCAGGAAAATCAAATTGTTTTAAAATTATTCCTTTCTACTGAGCTGACTTAATCTTCTTGCAGATTAGCTTTTGTCATCTCTGTTACCACAAAGAAAAAACAAGAAACATACAAATCCTTTTTTTTTTTCAGATTGCTTACTTCCCCTCAGCTCCTGTTATCTGCAGTGTCTCTTGCTGCTTGAAATTACTACATCTGCAGTGACAATTTCCTGGCCTCCTGGATATTAATGAAGTCCTCCACTCCTCTATCATACTGTGGCTGCAGGATCTGTTGCATTTAAGCCATACACCTCCGTCCCACAAAATAATGAGTCTCTATGACATTTCTATGAAGAGTAAACTGTCAGGTCAACCACATATGTAAATGTATGCATATACACAAAGAACAGAGATCTAAAATTCCACTGGGGAAAGGCAGAAAAATATTTCAATTACATGCAAACTTATTAACAAGTGAATCCGGCCTGGGGGCAAATTCAGACAGGCATTAAATGTGGCATTAATTAGTTTGGGAACAACAACAGCCATCTTTTCTCATGGAGGTGAGAGATTACCAGGGCAGCCTGCGCTCCAAGATAGAGGTGAATGAAGCTGTTCAGAGGGCTGTGGACAGCAGATGCACTTTTATTGACTGGTGGAACGTAGTGGCTCCCCCCCGTGGCCAGGACTCGTTCAGTTTAAT